TTTCAAAATGAAAGAACCCAATTAAGGAGAGTAGGAAAGTGGAAGAATGTAGTAGATAGAGTTAGTGTGGAATAGAAATTAGTAGAATCAAGTGAACTTCACGTGTGATAGACCGTATGTAAACTATAGATACTATAGATTCCATGGATAAGCGGAGGCACAAAAAGTTGTTTTGGTAACCATGAAAAATAAATGATCAAACTGGCATCCATGAAAAATGTTCATGCCATCATAGAACTCTTCGTTGTGCAGTTTTGTTTTGTTTCTTGCGTAAAAGTTCAAAATGAAGTGCAAAGCAAAATCTTTGCAACAATGAGTCGAGGAATGGTTTGCTTTATCTTTCCTTCTTCCGTTGTCCACGAAATAAATCGGAATGTGCAAGTACTTAAAATCTTAAAATCGTTCGATACTCGTTTCAGCGAGGAAGACGGGAAGCGGAACAAAAACGGATGTGAGGAACCACCATAAGGACGTGGAGGTGAAAGAAATATTACGGAAGAGATCAGACATTTCGGTACGTACTGTTGCTCGTAAAAAAAAAATGTTGCCAACTTTCGTGCATACTTCGCAGCATCGACAATGAACGAAGTAATTCAAGGTGAAAGCTGTGCCGAACCGATGACGAGCAAAATGTCACAGCCAGTGCTCGTAATACCAACAGTTACCTCTATGGTAATACCATAGAGGTAACTCTAAGACTAGTAGGTCCCGAAGAAACGTGCTCAACTTTTTGGCTCAGCTCTGGTACTCTCTTAGGTCCCAAGCTAGTCGATTCACCCCTCGAAACATAGGAAAATCCAATAACCCCTCATTTTATCTGTCAAAATTTCATAGCGAATCAAAACAAACATTGTGTAGTACTAGAATATTGACTAGAATGGGGTACGTTATCCGATTTGCTTGGGATAGGCTAGTCAAGTAGTGAGCCAATTTAAAATCGTTAGTTTCGTATTGATTGTTGGTAATACCCCGTACAGACTATGGCTTATATCATGTGATATAGGTTTTCTTGCAATGAGCACTCATACATAGGATTTTCAGTGAAAACTAGATGTATGAGTGCTCATTGCAAGACAGCCTATATTACATGATATAAGCCATAGTCTGTACGGGGTATAATAGTACGTTCAGAATAGAGAGGGTCTAGTATAAGAGAGCGCTCGGCTGGTTTTGAGCCAAACAAACTGTCAAAGCCAGAGCCAATCGAGCACCGCCTATCTCGATTACACTGGCAGTGTTGCTAGAAACCACTGTGGCATAGGTTGCCAAGACAGTTTGTTTTGAATCCGCTCTTATTTAATTATTTATTTGGAGCGAGATTTGGAGGGAAAAGCCCACACTTGTGGGCGCAAAACCTCATCATTTCAGTACCAACAGATAACATGGAATCCTACAGATACATTTGCTTGAACTAAGTCCTTAATACCCCGGACAGACTATGGCTTATATCATGTAATATACGCTGTCGTGCAATGAGCACTCATACATCTAGTTTTCTCTGGAAATCCTATGTATGAGTGCTCATTTAATATATTACGTCATATAGGTTGTAATGTGAACGGGCTATAAAACGGGAGATATTAAAATCAAAGCAGTTATAACATTTGTTGAAAATCTTGCACATGCTAGTTAAAGCGAGGGGGGCGACTCTATCTACGCTGCAGGAAAGAATGTGTTGTGCTGTGGCTAGCTGCTCGCACGCTGAGTAGATAGAAAGAAGATTGATGACGATTCTGAAGATTTCCTGCAAAAAGATGATGCGCGATGCAAGTAAATGCGAGAAATGCAAGAAGATTTTTCGAAGATTGATTCGTTAGTGTGAGATTTTTTGAGCATCTACAATTGAGATTAAGATGTGTCGTTCCCCTCGAGTTAAAGGCTCATTAGCGCCGTAGTTTGTGCGAGAAGCCGGAATATTGAAAAAAATAATAAGAACGTAAATTTACGCGTCTGATATTGACATTCAACTGCTGCAGAAGTGAACCGCAATAAATGTCCGATCGTAGGAGATCAGCGATGAAGGTAGCCTTAGAGACGCCTCGGTGAACACTAAGTAAATGTAGGACATCACATTACAGCGAAATTCATAACTAGGGAGATTGAAAGGATCACTCCAGGGTAGCCAACGAAGGGCGAAACGTACAAATCTTCGCTGAATGGCCTCAATAGGATTCACCCCGTTGCTGTAAAAAGGAGCCCATACTACGGAACAGTACTCTAATGTGGAGTGGACTAGCGAACAATAGAGTGTTTTTTTTTAAACAGAAAATGTCCCTAAAGTCTTTGGCAAAACGAAAAATGAAACCAAGTTGAGAAGACGCCTTAGCGGAAACATAAGCCACATGGCCCTTGAAGGTGAGTTGTGAATCAAGTAGGACGCCAAAGTCTTTAATGGTAGATTCACGGCTTAATATTTGCTCATGCAGGCTGTAAGCATAACATATAGGTAATTTTTTCCAGGAAAACGTTATAATGGCACATTTAGAGTCATTTAATACCATCCTGTTCTTGTCACACCAAACAGCTGCTGCTGAAGAAACAATGCATCACTTCGATCTTTGATGACGGTCCTAGATGACTGCCTTGAGGTACACCAGAAGAAACAGCGAACGTTTGAGAAAAATGATCTCCAATCTTCACTGACATATGTCGACCGGTGAGGTATGAGCGAAGCCAATCAAGAAGGGAACCGTGAAAACCAAGTCACTCTAGTTTGGCCACTGCAATCTCGTGATTGATTTTATCAAAAGCAGCAGAAAGATCGGTGTAGATAGCATCCACTTGATGACCTCTTTCCATCTCGCGTTTGATTGATGATGTGTATTGAACGAGATTTGTAGCGGTCGACCTCTTCGGTATAAATCCGTGTTGTTCAGTCGCGATGTAACTAGAGCATGTGTTTTAAATAATCTAGCACCAATAGTTCAAAATGTTTTGCGACTGCACATAAAGCAGCGATACCATGGTAGTTGGACACCGACTGCTTATTGCCTTTTTTGAAGACAGGGAAAACAAAAGAATCCTTCCAGCAGTCGGGAAAGATCCCAGAATCCAAAGAGAGGTTGAAGATGGATGCTAAAGGTGCGGCCAGCACTCCAATACAGTTCTCTTCTCTTATACTAGACCCTAGAGAGGGTCTAGTATAAGAGAAGAGAACTGGTATCACGTAATATAGACTATCTTGCAATGAGCACTCATACGAAATATTTTCTCTGTAAATCCTGTGAACGACTGTTGATATTTAGATAATCTATATTCCCAAGAAACATTGCAAGTTTTATCATGATTTTAAATCTTTCTCCAAGTCTATCATGGTTTACAGAACCCTCTTCTTCTTCTTCCTCGCATTTCAAGCTTATTGCGTGCTCTCAACTTAGTGTTCTAGATGCACTTCCTTAGTTACTAATTGAGAGCTTTCGATGCCTGTACCATTTTTGCATTAGTATAATTGTGTGGCAAGTACAATCATACTCTATGCCCAGGGAAGTCGAGAAATTTACCAACCCGAAAAATTCCTAGACCGGACCGGGAATCGAACCCAGCCACCTGCAGCATGGTCTTGCTTTGTAGCTGTGCCTTTACCGACTTAGCTAAGGGAGGTCCCAGAACCCTCATAAAACCCAAATTGTTACTTGAAAACATAAAAAAAAATCATGTAAATCTAGGTGCTCTGAGAGTGACATACAGGAGCGTCTATTTTGACATAAATTTGAGCCATAACAGACGCTAAATATAGCTCAATAAAGGCCCAAACGCAATGTGGGCGGAAGCGGAACGGAAACGGAAAGTTTGACAGTTGTCACTAATGACATCAAGATGCCTAACCGAAGTCGATTTGATTCTAACTAGTTTTCAATCCGACAAGTAGGCTTACTCAGATCGGGCTTTTCCGCTGCCGTTGCCGTTCCGCTTCCGCCGTCATTGCGCTTGAGCCTTAAGGTGATCCAAGAGACGTTTCTCAGTGGAACTGACAGCTAGAAATCTAGAGTGTGTGAGTGATCTGGTGTAAATGGTGCTGAATGTAAACATAAACAAAGCAGAAATTCACATGAGAATAAACTGCCAGTGATTTGTAAAAAGTTCTTGGTAAACAAAAAAGTCTCGGAGCACTTAATATTATATCAAGCTGAACATTACATTAGGTCCTCAGTAACATTGACAGATTCTCTTCGTCGACTTGCACGGATAGAAATCTTCGTATAGGACCTATGTGGTTTGTCTTATGGAATGTATAGGGCTAATATTTTGGCAAAAATGTATATGAATGAAATAATTACTTTTCGTTTCGTGTGCTCTTTGTATCCCCACGGCCATTTACAGACATTCCCAGGTATCTTCTGAACACAGATCGATAAAAGAAGCTTTTATCTAGCATCTAATACGGCAAACACAACAAGAAACGGTTATGTGCTCAAGTTATTAACGATGTTACTTAGGACATAATGCAATCAATGTTACTTAGGACCTAATACAATGTTCAGCTTGACGTGACATGTTTGTTTACGTTTCATCCTCAAAGTCAAAGATGGATTCCATCACGTGTAAAATTAGTTATTTCTTAGTGTGTGGGTTGCGTAATATCAGGCATAGTCTGAACATAGTATAAATCAACAGTAGTACATTTTTTTCACTGAAATTCTGATTTGTAATCCTTCTTTGAAGTAGTAAGCAGTCTTTGTAAAAATTCCAACGTTAAATGCTAGATTTTGGCGCCATCCAAGTAGTCGACCTTAGAACTGGTTGTCATTTCTATCACTATTACCCCAACTATGCTGAGGAAAGTCCTGTCAGTGCTATGCCCCGCTAGGCTGCCATACGAGCTTTTTTTTTTCTTGGTTTGTCCTACAATTTTGGGGTTATTAATAGCGAATTTGCCACAGCCAATGAACTGTTCTTCTGTTTTAGGAACTACCAAAAAATGTCCCATTTTTCAGGTAGCGAGAGGTTAGGCGTCGGTCATGTCAACAGATGTGACCGCGCACACGTGGTCACCTACTTACCCTTAAATTTATTCTCCCTTCCTCTCGAGTAAGCGTTGTTATCAACCAAGTAAAACAAAATTACCGTTACAAGTCAAGGTCACACAATCGACTAAACATGCTGACTGATACACTGGATTGATAGGCACAATAGAAGCCGAGAACTTCTCTGCCAGCTCGCGATCAAGTTGGCCTCGACAAATCTAACTTACAGACTACCAATAACACAATACTGATAGATACGGGTTCGGTATCTCGAAAAAAAAAAAAAACTAATCACTAAAGGATCACAAACGGTAAAACAATGCAAAAGTGAAGAGTTTGAAAATGTCCGGGCGGGGGACGCGATCGCAAAATGGAACCGAGTTGGGTGTGATCGGACAATGGAATGGAACGTCGCATCGTCATCGCCATATGAACATGATCTCTCGGTGGTGGTTGTTCGGGTCGGGTCGATTCCTATTGTGTTGCTTGCGTCAGTTGTCAATCGGCCTACTAGTGCTAGGTGCTAGAATTTTGAGCCCGCGTCGTATGAAAGTGCTCGAATGCGTTGATTCGATCGAAGTAGGCGCTGGCGGGGGGTCTGCTTTGCTGAGTGCATTTGAAATTTCAAATAAATGGGGGTGTTGTCGCATTTCTGGACGATGGCGGAGGTGGGATGATTTTTGATTGTTCGTCGCTTCTCTTGTTTGTTCGGGGGGAGATGGCTCGTAACCGATGAGTGGCTGGAGTAGGGTCGTAACTGTGGGTTGGTTAGTTTTTAATAATTTTGACTTGCGGAGAGTTTCATTGAATATAACAACTTTTCCATTAGAAATCGGGAAGCAAACTTTTTCCATATCCGTTCGACGAATAAATCTCGTTCGAAACAATCCCCAAGAGGGCAATAGTAATAAAGGGAGCAAAGTTTTTTTTACGCGAGCTCAACAAACTTCGTCTGATCGCTGGCACATATATAGATATAGTACAAGTGGTACGGTTTGTTCAAAAGTCGTTGACCAATTGTCGACCCAGTAATGGGTAAACTTCTACATGTAGTGTGATTGCTCTTCCTGTAGAAGCATCACAAAACTGGCAATCAACCGGAAGCGATAAAGTTGTGTCATTCAGGTCAAGACAGGTCGAGACGAATTTGTTTTGACGCAACAATGTAGTTTCCTACACGGAATAATAAATTCGTCGTGACATGTGTGTGAGCGTACGAAAATTAATTACAGTTTTGACCTAGTTATGCGTCTGGTTTCAGAATATTTTTTTATATTTCCATGGCCTACTGTCGATGTCGGTGACAGCGCAAACTTACAGCCAACTAGTTGTGACAGTTTCGAAAGCAGGGTTTAAATTTTAATTCGACAAGCGACGATAAAACTTTTGAATATTTTATAACTTTGCAACGGCTACTATCCGACGATGGTTAATTCATGTCGTGTACGACAGGACAACTGCTTTCTTAACCCCCTTCTACCGGTGCTTCTTCGGGGCATCGGAAGAAAAGTATTTTTTTTAATTAAATCCTCCCGACGTCAGACGCCCAACAGCCGGGGACTGGGAGGGAAAGGGGAAAAGAAAACGGTCCCGATATTCTGTTTTCCGCGCCATCAGCTGTTTGTCCGTCTGTGTTTTTTTGTGTCTGTTCTTGTCTGTTTTCATTATTACATTTTGAGGTTAGGTTTAGCGGATCCCCTCTTGAGTTTTCTTCCTGCCTGGTAAAAGGTCAGCTTAATGAGTGCGAGGGTCGGAAAGAGATGGAAAAACAGGGAGGAAAATGACCAGCGCCTCTGAAATGGGGATTTTTTTCCTCGCTGCAAGAAGAGTTCGGTAATTAAGTCTCCCCCTTTTTTTCCTATCTTTCGTGAGAGGGCTTTCTTTTTTCTTCGGTCACGTCTACTTCCGTCGTATAGGATTTCTTCCTGTTCGCCTGGTTCGGAAGGTGGCCCTATTTCTCCTCCATCCCCAAGGGGTGTGAGAATATTTACTGGGACTTACCAAATTTAGATTAATTAGCTAGCACTGGCTGGCTGGCTGGCTGGCGATGAGACTGTTCCCGAGAAATCAGGGTTGCCTCTTTGTGTAGGTTGTGGGAAACAGAGGTCGATCATAAATCAAGTGCTAAATTATGCATGTAATCGGAAGCGAGAGATTCTGCTGCATACACATACAAGTAGATGTATGTATTAAGTCTGAGATATCTGGTGTGACAGCGACTGGCAAGTGTCATTCACATTTTCTACAAAATGGCAAAAACCAAACTAAACATACTAATATTCGGATTTGGGTATCATCAGAAAAAAAGATGTTGACTCTATCCCATATACAAACCCATAACATGCTAGCACATAATAGGTCATCAAAGTTGGCCTTGGTTGGTAGCCTGTCCTAGCAAAACAACGCCTACTCTACTCTGCCTGTGGATGATTCGGTCCCTTGTTTTCTCCGACTCAATAAATGACACGTTTTCCATTTAATCTAAAAACAAACGGTCCTGGCGGCTCTATATTGATGTTGGTTTGGTCCTATAGTAGAGAAAAAAAAAGATGACCTCACATAAGGTCGTACCCTAATCTAAACCATGCTTTAGCACCACGTTTACGTATGTACTGTCGCGACAGTTGAAAACCGGAGAAACCCCACTAGAGACAATCGATTATATTCTGGTTAACGTAAAGGACATAGTGTCGGAAGTAGTGCGCTGTATAGCGCATCATTGTGCGAAAACCGGGCAATTCTTCTGACACTATGTATAGCGAACACCACACGGTAAGAATATTGTCAATACTTACAAGTATTGACAATAATATTGATGATGTGAATACAGAAATATTGTCAATACCGATGTATTGACGTCAATATAAAATGTATTGACAATACGATTATTGTCAATACAAACTGTTGTGTAGGGTCCACTTATAATGAGAGTAAATTCGATTTTCGCTTGTGGGGTTTTCCGGTTTTCAGCTGTACCGACAATAGTGTAGTTGGATATCGTACCTTGTATGTGAACCAAATGGTCATTCGGCCACTGACATTAACGCTCTAGATTTGCAGATTATTTGCCTTTGTTTGACTCTGCTGTTGTTTATCCCACCAATGGAAACGTATATAGCAGTGATTTGCTATTTGGAATTGAACATAAAAATGCTCAGTAGGCTATTACACTGAACGAAAACATCCGCAATACTTCGAATGGCTATTGTATTGCCCGAGCCGTTTAACAATATACCTTTTTGACGTTTAATCGTCTTTGTCTATCTACCGCACATGGATGAATGAACGATTTGTTTTCCCACTAATCTGTTTCCCTCTTGCTCGCACCTGTTCGATTTAAGGTGATTCCTTGTAGAATTCACAAATGGCCACCACGTAGGCTATACATGCACTTCCACTTCGAGTTTTCAATTACACACATCTCGGATATTAATGCCCCATTTCACCTGAAATTGCTACTTCATGTATGTTGCAGTATAGCAAACGTAGAGTAACAGTTTCATTGTGGTACGTATCGTAGAAACTGATATTTGTGCTCTTAAAGATTCGAAGTGGTTACGAGAAAAAGGATCCCACAGCGAAACACCTTAAATGATGCAGTAGTGTGCGCCGATTAGTGTCCGGATGATTGCCTTATGGTTGAATTCTCCATCAGCTGATTAGCATCCATTGAGACTTTCACGTCCGGTTGTATTGGTGCTATATTTAAGAGCATGTTAGTGAAAATCCGAGGAAAATACATAACAAATCACTGTCAAACTCATTTTGACAGATACAATTTCATACATTTTTTAGGTTACCCAGAGGAAAATAATAAACAACTTTACACGGCGATGCACCCGCTAGTGAGCGTGACTTAAACGTCACTAATCTCTATATGACTGTCATCCGAACAAAGGATGATATTTATTTGAAAATTGGCTGTATAACATGCAGCGCTAATTGACTTTCAAATGCTTTAAATTAGATCTATAATTCGATGTGTTTACAATTGCATATTGAATAGCCATGAACAGCTATTCCATCATGGATACAAAAATCGTTTGTTGGTAGAGGAAACTTGCTCCACCACGAAATAGACAATCTTATATTTCCACGCTTTAGCAATGTATGTACCACCTCTGATAGCGATGACTGTTTTCACCTCGCTAGTCAGCTCAGATCGGCAAATGACGTTCGATAGAATTATTTACATCATTTTGGATGAACCAATACCATATGCATTTCGGGAAGAGAGTGGGAATGCCAACTCCCTGTTGATAACATTTCGTGGATAAAGGGCAGGCTCTTCTCCTCAATCATTGGGGCATCATCCTGTTTGGGAGCTCGTCTTTTTGACCAATTCAAGCGTAACTATTCAAATCGACGTATCTACTTTTGTAAACAATCACTTCAATCGATGATTTGTGGTAACTGCTAGCTCACTCACAGAAACTAACGACACCAGCTACCTGATGATGGAGTTTGTTTGCGTGGATGAGTTAGCAGTTAAGACAAATCATCGATTGAAGTGATTGTTTACAAAAACAGATACGTCGATTTGAATAGTTACGCTTGAATTGTGCGATCATGTTGCTAGAAGGAGATTCTTTACGGTCCACCCAATCCGTTTTTGGCACTTCATACAGCGACATGTTGAGGATAATCAGAGGTTATTGAGCTTGATCAAGACAAACAGAGAAGAGAGCCCACTGCTGTCGGACTAAGTTTCGGTGCTACAATGGGTGGTAGATCACTATCATGCATCATGAACCAAAAAAATTATTCTACAAAGAGCCCACCCAAATTTCCTAGTGTCAAATACTCCTAAAACCTTTATTTGTCGGCCGGTGGACTTTCCAAACCTTTAAATCGATTTATCTCCATAATTAAGGCTCTAATCGCGATTTGGGGGGTGTCCAGATGCTCGAAATTTTCATACCCAGATTTCCCAGTATAAAATATTCCAAAATCCTTTATATATCGGCCGGTAGACTTCCCAAACCTTTAAATCGATTTATCTCCTTAATTAAGGCTCTAATCGCGATTTGGGGGGTGTCCAGATGCTCGAAATTTTCATACCCAGATTTCCCAGTATAAAATATTCCAAAATCCTTTATATATCGGCCGGTAGACTTCCCAAACCTTTAAATCGATTTATCTCCTTAATTAAGGCTCTAATCGCGATTTGGGGGGTGTCCAGATGCTCGAAATTTTCATACCCTAATTTCCCAGTATAAAATATTCCGAAATCCTTTATATGTCGGCCGGTGGACTTCCCAAACCTTTAAATCGATTTATCTTCTTAATTAAGGCTCTAATCGCGATTTGGTGGGTGTCCAGATGCTCGAAATTTTCATACCCAAATTTCCCAGTATAAAATATTCCAGGTTCCTTTATATGTCGGCCGG